ACTACATATGATTGCAAAATATGAAGTGAATGGAAAGAAAACATTTGCTCATGTATGTTCCTTTGCACACTGTAGCTCATAAGTAGGTATTATCAGTGGGAAAAGGGCTGTTTTACACGATGCAATTAATGATTTCTACAAACGGTTTGTATTAATTGACTTTTGGGGAACGGGTCCAACTGGTTCCGATTCCAACTTAGACCGGGTCCGACTGGTTCCAGAAATGTCCAGCCGGGTCTGGTTCGAGTCTGGTTCCCAAAATTTTCACGTTTTGACACCTCTAGATCAAAGCAGGAGTAATTTGTATCATTTCGTGATAACTTGATATCACCTGGTGAGCCACAGACTTCTGCATGTCTCGGTATACAGAGGTATATGGGTGACCTAAGCTTGAACGCTCTCAGCCTGGGATTAACCCGCGCCGGGCTGGTGCTCCGCGACTTCCGCGCCGGGCGGTGAGGGGGGTGTCTGGTCTAACTCGGCTCCTGGGCCACGTAGCGACACGCAGTAAGCAGCATTCGAAAGAGCGTCAAAAATAATGACGGAAACACTTCGGTCATTTTTTGGGTCAGGTCAAAGGTCAGGTCGCCTGAGGTCATCAAAGGTCAAATGTAGGCCATTTCAACAATTTTGGAAACTGCAACGGCTAACTCGGGATCAATAGAGCTACAGCGCCGCGGAAAAGCGCATTCGATAGCCCTTTTACAGACCTTTCTGACCATTGTTCTCAGATTTGACCTAAGGTCAACGGTTTAGCCTCCAAAGGGCAAAAACTGTAAAATAGCAGTTTTCACGAAAACTGTTTTTCGGCAATAACTTTTGACTCAAGAGTGCCACGACATTACGTTTGGCAGCATCATGTTCCTCTCGTCGAGACGCGTCGAATGAACTATTTTTTGACCTTGAAAGGTCATTTTTAAAACTTGACCTCAGGTCAAGGTCATAACCTGACCGAAAAGGGTCATGTTGCATATCAGTCGATCCGTATCGTCGAGTTGAATACATCTGAAGTGTTTTCATCGCTCTAGCACGCCTTTATCAAAAGTTACAGCCAAAAAACTGGTGGTGACCGTCTATGACCTGAGATGACCTCAAGGGCACACAGAGGGGTCACAGGTGCATTTTTCCGATTCAGTGTATCATGTTCACCTATGAAACGATGTTTGAGAGGGTTCTAAATACCATTCGTCCAAAAAAGGCTCATTTCAATTTTCTCCCATTGACTTATAATGGAGAGGTCGCAAAATTGACCTGACCATAGGTCACTGATATCAAAATTCCGAGATAAACATTTTAGACATACTGTTACTCTTATCAATCGCTGAAAGTTTCAAGGCGATCGTTCGGTTGGTGTAGCTATGACGAGGATTGCAACTTTTTTCTGAGGTGAGGTCTTTTGACGTGACCTGGTGACCTGACCTCGAGAGCTCTGGGTCTGAAATTTGCACATGTGTAAAAAAAGATGCATGAACAGGTGTGCCAAAAACGGCGGCGCGGAGTTTTGAGATATCTGCGAAAAACCGCAGGGGAGGTGTTCACTCCCCCCCGGCCCGGCGCGGGCGGGGGGGGGGGCAATTTTTTATTTTTTTTCGATGAGGGCAAATTTTTGCCACTGGTTTGCTTCTAGAACACGTGCGGAAAAGATGCAGTATGAAGTGTGTTCTTAACTTAAAAGGGGAGGCGTAAAAACGTCCCTTGCTTCTGCGTGGGGTGAAGTTCTACAGATTTGTTTCTTTAAAGGTAGTGTGCCACCTTTGAAAGATTTCCCATTTTATTTTTCCTAGGATAAGAAGCTTCTGTTTTTACATAATATCGCAAAAAAAAAATCAAAAATGGGCCTGGAATAGTGCCTTTTTCGCCTAAAAGTTTTTCGGTTTTTAGATATGTATAACAACTGTAGTGGGCTCACCTGCAAACAGGCGTAGGGCAACAATCGCGAATGCGGCGCACTTGTGACAATAAGCAAAGGTCATTATAGTGTTACGACCATACGACGTACGGGAATGAGTTATCAGCTGTCTAATCGTAGACAACACAATGTCGAGCCTTAAACTGTAAGCCCGTATTGGTATTGTTTCTTTTATTTGGCTGTCGAACATTATTTATGGTTTGAAATATGATTTTATGTAAAATAATTGATATGAAAAAGCCGTCTTATAAGTAATGACCCCATTTCACCACACGCAAGTGGCAGAAATGACAATGATCAGCTGACGCATTTTTCTTGGCCGAAGTCAGAGCGCGCGGCCCGACGCACCACGCGTATTTGGAAATTCCGACCTCGACGAGCATCAGAAGCCACCTAACAGGCCCGTGTTCGAAACCGCAGGAGATGATGATGAACGGGTTTATCGAAACTTGATTGGATGAGCATATCGGTAATAGCGATTTCAGTGTGTGCATTTATTGTTCATAGTGGTGTGAAATGTGGTTGGGGTACGACCGACAACCCGTCGGGGCGAATTTCGCACTGGGGTACTCAAAATTTGAAGAATTTAAGACGTTTCCATGAGTTTTGAAGGTATGGATAAGTTCTAAAAATCCGGTTCTCCTTATCTGGGCCATTAACTCCATACGGTCCAAGAAAGCTGGCACACTACCTTTAATCTCGCCTTTTTATCAGTTGTTTTTTCTTTTCTTTTTGTCAATTCATCAGTTCGTCTCGTTTCTTTAGAAGAACTACCATATGCGTTGTTTAATAAGGCGTCACTACCCTGGTCCTCAATTCCACTACCCGCCCCCGGTCTCTGGTCCCCAAATTGCTTTCAAAATGTATTTGGTTACAAAATAATTCCGCGCTTTTGGCGCGCTATTTCAGAAAAAAAACTGCAACATAACGTGCCAAAACACGACGGCACAAAAACAACGTGCTATGGTAAAAAGAAAATGTTGCCGGAAACTGAAATAAGACTTATTTCTAGACAGTCACGGGGAGGCGCCCCCATGCCCTTAAAAAGGCGCCCCTGACAGCGTTGCCCCCCCAACGAAAACCAAAAAGTTACGCCCCTGGTCGATCGTGCTTGTTCACATCAGTGTCATTCTCTACTACATGCTTCTTCCTACAAAGAAGACCCAGCAAACGGTCAATAAATCCACATAAGATGAAGGCATATCTATCTACGTCGGGTCGGATTTGATCATGCTCTGATGTTTCTGATCGTTGACAAGCTTGACGATATAATCCACCAGCACTGTGCCAACACATTACACCACCGCGCGTGTGCGCTTACAGCGGTGTTCAGCTGACAGCAGCCGGCGGACGGCCGTGACTTGTGTACGGCTCGCGGCGTGCTGCGGTCGCAGGCGACACGCGCCGCCGATAGAGCAAAACGAACTCACGAATCAGTTCACCGTGACCGGGAGTCGGCGGGCGCCGGTGGAGACGGGCGACGAGCAGCACCGCCAGACGGCGGCGGGAACACAATTCAGGTAGCTAATCCTCTGCAAAAACCCGTCACACCGCTCAAATGTACAGCCCATGGCGTCAGCTCATAATGCCGAAACCAAGTGTGGACGTGAGCCATGGATTATTTTGGACTTATTCTGGTTCGTTTCACTGAATCCTCTCAATCTTGTTGAGTTTGTGGTAGATAAGAAGGTATCAACACCTTCTTTTCACCTCTGAGCCCGCTGTGTTTTCCTTATCGCTCGGCTGATTTAGTGTGGTGGGCGCGGGCTGAGGCTGCTGTGTTTAGGCTGTCAGAGGTCGGACGGCCCAGACAGGCCGGGGTCGAACAGTCTAGACGGGCAGAGGCGGGGCGGGGTGGGGAGGGCCGCTCGACACCTGTTCCGCCGGCCGCCTCCCTGGGAAGCGCCGCCGTCAGCAGCGGCTGCCATCGTTCACGGTCTCACCGTGGCTCCGCCGTCCACTGGGAAGACTCCAGCCGACCGAGGCCCGCGACCTGAGCCGTCTCACCGTCAGGAGGCCGCTCGAGACGGCCCGGCGCGGGCGGCGGGCGGCGGGCGGGCGGCAGGCGGCGGGCGGCGGGCGGCGGGCGGGCGACTTTGAGGTCAGTGAGTCGCCGTCGAGCGGGCCAATGACCCGGCACACGGCACCACTGGCCCACCTGGCCAGCAGGCCGCCAGCAAGCTGCCGCACCAGACAGTAAACGGACAGCGAATCGACAGCAAATGACCGCACCGGACAGCACCGGACACCGAACCGACGGCGAACTGACACATGAGATTTAGAACCGAACAGCGAGTCGACAGCGAACCGACCGTCACATCGAACAGCGAACCACCGCATCGGACAGGACGCGTCGCACCAGACATTCTCCGGGGAGATAATGTCTGGGAAACTTTTTATTTCCCTCCGAGGCTGTATTCCGCCAACAGCACGTACATATTCAGCGCACAGTTATTGCATAACGGCGGCGCTGCGGTTCACAACCAGCCGGCCCGTTAGGCAAACCGCGTGAAAGGTAAAGGAAGCGTGCTGTCTGCACTCAGCCTCCCACTGGAATGCTGTGATATTCCATGGCAAAACACCGTTGCGCTGAATTATACATAAAACTTCTCAGTTCCGCAAAACAGAATTAGTTGAACGGTTAGGCATGCGAGCATGTTATGCACCGTGATTTCATAAAATTCAAAACGACGAAGCTCTAAGAAGGCTCGACTGCGATAAGCAGCAACTCACAATCCTAGCGATTTATGATAAAGACGTTTAGCACTAGCAGTTCGTGTAAAATACCAATCGATAACTGCATGTTCAACAATATAGATGGACGCAAGACTTCTTCACCCTCCATGCCTTTGAAGGAAAAAAAAAAAACGCAATAGCCAGAAGACTGCAACTCTGGCCAGAGCTGTACCACCAATGCAAGAAGCCATTGGAGACTGCAGCTCCTCATAAGACACAAGCACCGAAGACTGCATCTTATCACAAAAACCTAACACCAGGAGACTGCGACGCGCAGAAAACGACCGCGGCGCCAGCTAATTATCCTACCATTCGCTCCGACACCATCAGAGCGTGCAGCGTTCTGGGTACTCACGCCCTGGCGGTGACGCAGGCGGTCAGCTGCAGCAGCAGCAGCGCCACAGCGACGCCGGAGAGGACGCTGCCGGCCATGGTGGCCGTGTGGGCGGCCGGCCGCTGAGGTCACACCCCTGAAACAGAGGTCACCGGTCAGGCATTGTTCACACGCCGGGCAGCCGAGTGCCGCAACAGGGTTACAGCACAGATGGCGTCAGAGATGTCGTTAAGGACTCGGCAAGGCAGAACGGTCACAGAGGTGATACGACAGTGGTACTAGTGTGTCAGGGACACCTCATGATGGCTCATGTGATGCAGAAAACACAGCATTGTTCTCACTCTGATGTGTGGCTTTGTTACGAAATAAGACTATGTAAAACAGAATAGCGTGTCATGATGAACTTCATTAACACAAAAACCTTATTTAGCACATTCTGTTGTGAGGACGAGCGCTGGTGATATAAGTAATTCGGAGATGTTCTTCAGCGGGGGATTACCCCCGACACTACACTGCGACCTGCGTACTTGTGTAAGGGGTACTGCGCGAGTAGGGCACTGCGATGACTGTCCATCAGATGGTTTCTCATGTTTTTTTTTCTCACTTTTCTCATGGATGTAGACTGTGGCATAACGGTCATTACAGTTGGTGTGACGCATTGGAGAGACATGGCAACAGAGCTGCACTCACGTATACATGTAGCACATCTGTTATCACTCACATGCAGCTACCATCACGTTTGTTCCCTATCAATCTCTCCCGTATGTGACATAACACCAGAGCTGCCTTCACGTGTCCAGTGATGGCAAACTGGGTCAGTCAGGTCACCGACAGGTACCTAAACGCCCCGCCCCACCCACCGGACCCCAGTCATCGTCCCGGGGTCCTCAAACCGGCGCCGTGTGCACTGTGACTGGCGCCGGTGGCTCTCAAACCGCCAGTGCAGGCGTGGTGAACGGTCGCGGACCGCAGTCTGCCCCGGGGCGGTCCCGGCAGCGTGGTCCCAGTCCCGGTCCGCTCCCCAAGCGAGACCGCAACGTGTCGCAACGTGGCCGGCGGCGCGACACGGACGGTGCGCCGCCGGGGGAGAGGGAAGCGACCCAACGGCCAACACCTCGAATTGACCCCCAACGGCTAACAGGTCTCCGACAGAGCTCAACGTTACAGAGCAGCGCCGCGCTTCATCGAACAGTAAATGAGATAATTTCAACAGGGTATTTGTCGGCTTAATGTGTTCCCGTTTTCTTACTGTCACAGATTGCAAGAAAAGAAACCCTTAGTAATTTGTAAACCCTACCTCGTAATTTGACTTACTTCACTTCCGACATTGGATCAATTAATAATCAAAACGGACTTTAAAATAAAATAAAAAACTTTTAAGAGTAGCTAATGTTCCCTGAGTGGTCGATGAAATCAGTGCAACAATCCAGCAGCAAGGCCAAATTTAGCCGAGGGAACAAAAAAGCGCAATCACGCGGTTTTCTCAAAAGACTGACACACAGAGGCAGAGATTTCACGCCACGAGCTCGCCAATTAGTCCCTGTGAGTCTATTTCAGCAGTTAGTACCCGCGCAAGGCATTACGCAAATTGGTACACTGTCAGGGACAGCAGCACAATGCGACTCGGCCCGCTTTTGTCCGAAACCACAGGGCGTCTCATACCGCTTCCGGGCTGCGAAAAATGAAAGTGCGGACGTTCTGGGTCACCCATCCCTGCCAACCCTGCTGGTATGCGTCAGTGTGGACACTAACAGAAGCACGGCCCGTCATGGGACCCGCAGCTGCACGGTAGCACAGCGGGTTAGGGCGGGTCAGAACAGGTCACGGGAGGTCACATGAGGTCACAGAGACACAGCCGGTCACAGTGGCTCGGCAGCAACAGGCACAGATCATAGTAGCTCACAGTGACACGGCGGGTTGCACGGTGCTCAGAAATATGACGTGTGAGGCGCGGCAGCTTCTGCTTTACTACCGTGACGAAAACAAGTACCCGACACCGCGTGGGTTCCTTCTGTCTGGCAGATGTATTTTATGGCTAGTGAGTGTGGCTGCTTGTTTGTGTGCTATAAAAACGTTCTACAGCACCACCAGTGGCGGCGGCGGCAGACTCAGACATATTTAGACAGTGCAGAGTATACGGTGTTCTCCCCTCGGACGACACCAGAATTACATAGTCGTTAGTCCAGCCTTCGGCTGTAGCGCTGATTATTACTGAGCGACGCACAATCACTCGATTCCATTTCTGAGAAGTCGCAAAGTTATCTTGGTGCATCAGCTCACATAGTCGTAGGTTCTATCTGCAATACAGTGGTCATTGGCCATGTTCATACTACAACCACTATTACTTCCTCTTTCATCTGACATCTTTGACTTCTTATAACTTCTACCGAAGACAAACAAACATGTCTCCCCATTTAGCGCACAAGCCAGATCAGATCACCGGGCGAACTGAGACGTGCTTTGGCCATCAACATGTCGCAATAATTCGGCTTAATATCGGCTCACAATACCAGTCATGGCCTAAATGCTTCACATAGCACTTCTTAGCAAATTCTTTGAACGTGACTGTCGACTGATCGCAGACATGTGTACCGTGCAAGGCTAAACACAGTTTATGTAAGTGGAGTCAGGAACGACACTCGCACCGCTTGCTATTTGCTACTACGTGATCCTACAGCGTGCTAGACGGGGGGGGGGGGGGCGTGAAACCCACAACACCTGGTTGTTATCGCTCGTCAATGACCCGCGACAGCACGCACGTCCCGACTTTCGCTTCCCCAGGTCAATGTTCGCGGAGTGCGGCACGTTTCAAACGTCTGCAGTCGCCCGCAGACGGATCGGTCAGGCCCGAAGTCGGCGACTTTCTTCCGCGGTCACTGTGCGAAACGCTCCGGCACGGGACAGCCCTCATACCTAGTCGGTTCAGCCCTCATACCTCCCTCATACCTAGGCGCCGCACGCCATCCCCTCAGCCCGCCGCCAGCCGTGTACCGAGGAGACGGGTTGTCTGGCCTTGGGCGGCAGCCGCCCGCCCACGCCGCCACACAAACAAACGAACGGGGCGCGCTGCGGGCCGGCAGCTTTCACCGGGGGCCCGCCGGGGGCCGCGGGACGCCCCCCAGCGGGGACTGGGTGGGAGATGGGGGAGATGGGGCAGGTGGAGTGTGGACTGGAGTGTGGAGCTTTCTTCCACATTCCACATCTGGACGTAAGGTCGCCAGCTGTGCGGTACTCGTATATGTACACCAGCCGGACGGCCTACCGCCGTGCCGGCTGTCGCACTTTCTACACACGTTTCTACGGCGCGAGACGGCACGCACTGTCCTACACTCCGTGCACAGGAAGCTCACTAGAGCGGAGAGGGCCAATCGAGCCATCGCCCTGCTGATGTTAGCGGCCCGCCGAGTTTGGCGCGTCGCAGTCTCTGCTGTCAGCTGGGTGACAGATGGCGAACCCGGCGGCGGCGGAGCGGTATCCGTCATCCGCCCGTCACGCGCTCGGTTGGCGCCGTCATAGACCGGTCACTCGGGGTGGACGGTGACCGTACGGAGGTCGCGGGTCATGGGTCACAATGCACAGACCGCGACCCGTTGCTCTGATCTACCGAGCCGGGCTAGGGAGGGCGTGCAGCGCCACTGACAGCCAGCAGGAGTAACAAATCAAAACCCACTTGGCTCCTAGATCACATTCACCTGTTGACAGCCTGGGATTTATGGGAAGACAGCTTTTGGAACTACTCGGAGGACTTTACCTACACCTAAATAGGTTCAGCACTCAGCAGTCTACAGTCGACAATGGCTCAGCCCCACGGCTTTCATCGGGGCCACCTGTTATCGCCTGTGCTATCGACTCAGCTCACTCAGGGTGGGCCTGTGGTCCCCAATTATAAACGAACACAGCGGGACCCGTACACTGAAGCCCTCCTACAAACCCACCACGTGAGCTCCATGAGTCACTGTTGTCGCGACCCCGGCCGACGCCGACAATGACCAGCGAGCGAGCGGCGCTCGATTGATCCAGCCGACATCGACCACGCCGTCGGGCTGCTAGTAGCGTCAAAGGGCAAACGAACGGCTTGTTAGGGCAATGGACGGTCAATGGAACAGCAGGCTGTCACCGTGAGCCGGGCCGGCCAGAAAACACTCGGAAAGGTGTAAAGGTTAGAAATGACAATCGAATACCAACGTTTTGGTATACCGATACCAAACCGATACCAACTTGGTACTTGGTATTTCAATCGTAATGTGTTTGGTATTTTGTTGGTATCATGAACCCCCACTAATGTATAAGAGGCCAAGAAATAGGTAAAAAGTTGGTATTTCCCTCATTTTCCCAAGTTGGTTTGGTTTCGGTATTTTCCCGGGATTTTCGTTGGTATTTGTTTAGGTATCGGTATTCTGATTTTCTGTAATTGACATCACTAATAAAGGTGAGGGTGGAGTTGCATCGCTGGAATATACAATTCTTAAAGCGGCAAAGTTGATGTCTTATGGCCGGTAAAAGTCAGGCGACACCTTAATTACACTGTGTCTGTTTCGGGTGGCTAGAGGGAATATTTAATTCAAACCGACCGCCTTCCTTGGAACTATAATGCACCTCCATGGTGCAGCGGTTGCACTATCACTGATAACAATGCGGATTGCTAGAACGGTACAAAACATTTAACAGCACCTTCCAGGACCCAAGTAATGCATGGCGATCTATAATTTCTCGCAACTCTGACTCGCTATAGCAGCCAGCACCATCAACTGCAGGTAACGCATTCCCGCATGTTGCAAGGCAAAGGGCCATTACGTGGAATAAGTGCCTTCCGCTGCCACCGTCGAAATTCCTAAAGTGCAGTCGAGCTCACAGGGCCGTGTGCCGGACGCCGACACACGAGAGGCGCCCGCTGCCCATATATGGCGGAGTGCGGAGCGATCTAATCGCCGCCTGACCCCGCTGACTCCGGACGTGACTCTGGTCCCGTGACGTGACGGTCGGCGCGTCACAGTGTGCCGCAGGAAGTGACGCTGCCCCGCTGTGACCCCACCGGACGCACCTGGCAGCCCCGGTCCGCTGCCCCTCCCCTCCCCTCCCAGCCTGCCCCGGGGTGCACACTGGGTGTCCGGGCTGCCCCTGTCACTGTCATGGGGCAGAGTGGAGGGTCTCGCGACCGCTCCGTCTCCCCCTCATGATCCCTCTTTCTCTCAATGTCACGCAGTCCTGCCCTGAATCCACCCCTCCTGGCGGTCCCGTGCCGGGCGTATCCCCGCCGCGCTGCTCCGGTGGCCGCCCACCAGTCGCGGTAGGAGTATGAAGCCGCCTTTCACCACCTGCTGCATCGCTCGACACCGATTCCACGCGCCGCACCACGGGGCCCCACGAAAACAACCGCCGAGGCACGTTTGGAGATGGGCGTAAACCAACGACAGACGTGTTTTTGGTTTGGTTAGCGTAACACAGAGAGGTGTGAGAAATGAGAAGCATGTGTGGTGAGCAAGGTGAGCAAACGTCAGCCACCTGTGAGATTTCAACAGGACAGCCATTGCACCAGAACTCACCTTTTTTGTTTGTCGGCCGTTCAGCAATCAGCAGACGAGGGACGCCAATAATTAGAGACGTGTCGATACTTCAGTCACAGCTCCGGTCACTTCACAGTGTCTGTCGAGATTCCTACGCCCGCTCTCACACTCCCAGCTCCTCGGCGCCGAAACTGGAACGCGCCGCGGCGCGAGCGCCCTCGGAACGGGCCGGCGTGACGTCACATAACGGTGAGAGGCCGCCAGGACAGCGTCTGCCATCTAGCGGGGAAGTACAAACTTTGAGTTACAATTTCGCCGCCAGGCTGCAGATTGCAAAACCAAGCAAAACCAGAGCGGCCAATCCAAGATACCTATAAGAAACCAATCCGCGGCCAATCCGTCCCTCAGCGCGATCACATGGTCGCTCAATCTGGGGAACGAGCCACTCGCGATCATCTGAGCACGAACTATCGAGAAACAGTGTGCATGTGTTCGAGGGTGTTTGGCAATCGACCATGGCAATACCGAGCGGCTGCTACCCTTTTTCTTTGAAAAACAGGTTGAACCAAAGGCTTGCTCGGAAAGGACAGACGTTGAATCATGGAATACACCTCCCTGTCACACATTTGGATACATCCTCCGTTCCATCGCTTCCATCCTCAGCACACAGAAATCCTTCTCCTCCACGCCGCAACCCCCACTCCGGGCTGGACAGGCAACTTTATCTCATGCGGGCTGCTTGGAGCGGCACCGCTGCTCCAGAGGGAGCGCACCCCGTAGCCGGGTGCAGAGAGTGCTTAGGGGCTGATCGGCCTGTCCTTTTGGACGGGCTCAGCCCTGGCTTCTCTCTAGGGTGTCTGCCCAGACCAATGTCTCCCCCTAATTCCTAGCATCCTTCCGGCCCTGAAAGGGTCTCGTCAGACCGAAAGCGCCCACCACCCTTGTGGCGCAGTTGGCAAGTGCGTTCACGTTTGGTGTGGGAGGTCCTTGGATCAAAGCTGACCTCTGGCAGCGTTTTCCTCGGCCGGCTCCTACCCAGGAGATGGCAGTAACTGGGGAGTGTTCGCTCGTTCGTCGGGATTACCGCTGTGCCAGCCAGCGCCCCCGACCGCAGGTATATACGTACACGGGCCTGATCCGCCTTTAAACAGATCCTTCGGTCCGGTGACATGTCCCGAGGGCACGGCCTCGCTTCATGTCCCGGAGCAGCCCTCTGACCTGCCGGGCCCGAGAAATCGGGATAGCCCCAGCGTGCGCACCAGTTCGGTGCCACCTGGGGTGCGTGACAGGAAGCGTGCGGTCAAGGCTGTCCCGCGTAGCGGGTGCCGAAAACGATTCGTACCACTGCCGTGTATATAGTGTACTAACCCAGTATGAATGTGTGCTACTAACGACAAAAGCCCGGGTCGGGCACCAAAAATATTAAAAAAAAAAAGACCGAAAGGGCCTAGCCCAACAAATAAATAAATTTGGATACATGTAAAAAAACATGTAGAAATCGCACCAATGCACAATGTCATATAGCTAGGGCTGGTATAAACATCGAAACAAATCGCCCCATTCTCATCTTTGATTCTGCAAACAAAAATTGAGTTTTTATTATATATTATAAAATAACATAGCACTACAATACAAAAACAGAGGTGACTTGCAATCAGCAAAGAGCTCCAAGGTGCCTTATTGGTGGAATATTGGAAGCAACTGAATGCTAAGAGTGCTTGGCTGCCAGACATCAGAAAACGAGATGGGACCAAGGATCTCTTGGACATTTAACGAGAAAAACGTGCATCTCGCCAAGTAACGAAGTTTTGGTTCAGCCATGCAACTGCACGTCTCGCCGCTGCCCGCGGCCTATCTGGACTCGAGAGTCCCAATCCTGGCCGGCACGCACTGCGCAACGTCAGTGAAAACAGTCACCACACTCGGCCATCCGAGCACATCGTCAGGTCGTCTTGGCAGTCATTCACGACACTCAAGGTCACTTCAGGCCGGCGCAGGCGTCGGCGTGCTTCGGACCGCCCGCTCGAGTGATACGATAGCCAATCGCTCCCCAGTCAGCACGGGTTAAGTCCTCAGATAACACCGGCATATCTTGGTCCGGTAAGCCAACACGATACGATCACCTCAATGCAAGATTATCAAACGTGCATTGCATGTCTGAAATCTCTTCTCAAATAACCCACCAGCGTCCTTTGTGCCCCATCACTTCTTCACCCGTCCCTCCCATCCTAGCCAGATCCTCCGCCTAGTCGACCACCATCTTCTCTTCGTTGGGCTGGCCGCCCATGGCGATGATCTCCTCTCTGAGCCGGCGCTTGTGAGCCTCCAGGTCAGCCGACACGGGCGCCGCCGCCGACACCACAACGCGCATGCGCGACTCGTCGTTGTAGGACTCCATCTTGGCCCGCAGCTTCATGTTGAACTGTTTGAAGGTGGCCCGGTTGAAGACGGCCTGGAATCGCTCCGGATCTGAGTCGCGCATCCTGCCGAGCTCGTCGGCAGAGATTCCGAGCACCGCCTCGGCGGTCTCCTGAGAAAGGGAAAGGGGGATCAACACATATTCTGCCGCCTTCTCAGGGCATGGGGGGGGGGGCTGGGGGACGACTAGCAACAATACAGTGACCACAACAGGCATACGAATTAAAGGCTGGTCCGACTCAGCTAGGTATATGACTGGCAGGAATGTCTTTTTATATTTCATTCTGTTTAGAACGACAAAATATCTGCAAATGATTGTGGCTGCATCGATAATAGTCGCCAATGCTGGAGCGATACTCTGAACGCAACTAAAAATGCTACAAAGAGCCTGCGAGCTTTGAGCGAGCTAACAGCAAGAAGGTACAAGAAGGTGTAGTGTCGCTTCACTATTGACAAAACGCATTACCAGCGGTCAAAATGAACATTCCACATTGCAGCAATGATCTGTGCAGTGTGCATCCCTCAGAGGATAAATCGTAGATGTCGGTCTCACATAGAAGGTGAACTGTTTGGGTTTGAAGGTGTCTCAACAGTAGGCTCATTATGTGCCTACTGGAAGGCAGTGCCCAATCAATAGCGTATTTGTGATGAAGGCGTGTGATGTGAGCCTATGGTGGACCGACTGGCTGTGTCTGTGGCGTGTGTGTGTGTGTGGGAGGGGGGGGGGGGATATAAGCGCCGATCGTCTCACCTGGAAGGCAGTGACCCACTGGTTGTGTGTCTGTGTGTCTGTGTGTGTATGTGTGTGTGTGGGGGGGGGGAGGGGGGTAATAAGCGCCGATCGTCTCACCTGGAAGGCAGTGACCCACTGGTTGTGTGTCTGTGTGTATGTATGTGGGGGGAGGGGGGTAATAAGCGCCGATCGTCTCACCTGGAAGGCAGTGACCCACTGGTTGTGTGTCTGTGTGTCTGTGTGTCTGTGTGTGTGTATGTGTGTGTATGTGGGGGGGGGGGGGAGGGGGGTAATAAGCGCCGATCGTCTCACCTGGAAGGCAGTGACCCACTGGTTGTCAGTCATATCGGCCACGTTCATCTGCATCAGCGCCCGCCACCGGAACTCCGAGAACTGCTCGTTACACTTCTCGCAGCGGAACGTGCCGTTCTGCTGGTCGATCACCTTCTTCTTGCAGTCGCCGTTAGGACACGACTGGTAGAGGCAGTTCTCGCTGCGCAACTGCAGGATGGTGGCACACACGCTGTAGTACCCCGGCTCGCCAGTACCGCCGATGTTCTCGTGTTTGGCCTGGGCGAACGTCTTGAAGTTGTCCGGCCGGGCGGCTCGCGTCGAGATGGATTTGGACTCCATGTTGACGCCCTCGTTCTCGTACCAGCCCTTGAGTTTGTAGGTCTGGTCGATGTCGGGGTTCAGCTGCAGCTTGCTGTTGCCGCCCGAGCTGAGGCTGCAGCCGTTGAAGTCGGAGAGGCGCGCGCCCTTGATGGCCACCACCGGGTTGCCGGCGGCGTCGAAGCTCTCGGCCTGCGAGCCCCACAGCGTCAGTGTGACCTCCGTGTTGCTCTGGTCGACCAGCTTCAGGTCCCGCTTGGTGAGCTCCTTGCTGAGCTTGCGGGACATGATGCGGTCCAGGTCGCCGGCCTCCTTGCAGACGCCGATCACATCCACCAGGCCGGTCTTCTCCATGGTCTGCAGGTCAGAGATGGGCACAAAGTTGAACTGCATCCCCGGGATGGAGGAGTCGTCCATGCACGGCTCGATAATCGAGTTGTGGTTGAGCGTCAGCTCAAAGTCGTGCTGGATCGTGCCGCAGAACTGCTTGTTGGCCGGCTTCAGGAAGGCCTGACTCAGGTAGTAGACCTTGTTCGGCTCTAGGAAGTCGTAGAACTTGTCGCACTGTTCCTTGAACGCCGTGCAGCGAATCTCTCCGCTCTCGTCGAGCAGCTCGAACGAGAACAGCTTCCCCTCGCCGCGAGCGTTACTCCACGTGCGGATGTCGCTCTTGCTGGTGACGCGCGCCTTGATGGTCCACTTGTTGGCGTAGGGCGTCAGGTGCGCGATGGGCATCACGTTCTGCGCGGACAGCTGGCCAGTGGCGGCCGGCGGCGCGGCGACCGGGCGCGCCGCCATCGCTCCGTTGCTGGTCGAGTTTTTGAAGGCCGGCGCGGGAGCCGGAGCCGCCGGGGCGGGGGCCGCAGCGGCCGGGGCCGGAGTGCTGCCCGCCGCGTAGGCCTGCGGGTTGCCGATCTTGCCGGTCTGCGCGCCGGGGACTAGGACCGTGATGTCCAGCAGGATGATGATCTTCTTGGTGCCGTTGACGGTGTTGGAGACGTAGCGGTTGAGTCTGAACACGGTGTTGGGCGCCAGCTGGTTCTCGTGAATCATGTAGACCAGCTGGGTGCCCAGCATGGCGAAGCTGTTCATGTGCTGTCCGTCCGAGATGAGCAGCCGGTACCGCTCCGTGTCACCTGCAGCAGGCGGGGTCACACGAGGCGGGGTCATGGCAGGCGGGGTCACACGAGGCGGGGTCATGGCAGGCGGGTCACACGAGGCGGGGTCATGGCAGGTGGGGTCACAAGAGGCGGGGTCACACGGTCAAAGTAGGTGCATGTTTGAAAAAGGTGACAGCTATTCTCGCGAAACCTTTTTTTTGGTCGAAAACGGCAGAACATGACGTCACTCTGACGTCATTTGCGGCCAACTTATAGCTTTTGGAAAAATGTTTGGTAATAATATGTAAAATTGATGCCCGGGAGGGTTCTGAAAGTTTGCTGACGATCAGCGCAGCGGTTCTGGAGATTTATCGAACAGTCTGGAGGGGGGGGGGGGAATAGCCCTCCCCCAGCAGGGCGCAGGTTAAAAGTGCTGCCCTTTTTTGCCCTTCTTATTGTATGAAGGTTGTATAGTGTTTTTCATACAATTATCACTCTTTTCAGTGGAACATTGCTTTTGACAACAGACAACTGCATTTAACCCTCGCCGGCACAGGTGGGGGGGGGGGGTGATGCAACGGCCCCCCTAAGGTTTTTCGCGAATAACTCGCGTAAAAAGCGGCCGATCCCAAATGGAGCCCAAACGACCCGCCCCGCCCCGCCCACCAGACCCCAGTCATCGTCCCGGGGGTCCTCAAACCGGCGCCGTGTGCACTGTGACCGGCGCCGGTGGCTCTCAAACCGCCAGTGCAGGCGTGGTGAACGGTCGCGGACCGCAGTCTGCCCCGGGGCGGTCCCGGCAGCGTGGTCCCGGACCCCGGTCCCGGTCCGCTCCCCAAGCGAGACCGCAACGTGTCGCAACGTGGCCGGCGGCGCGGCACGGACGGTGCACCGCCGGCGGCACTGCCGGGGGAGGGAGGGGACCGACCCCAGCGGTCCTCTCCCTCCCCTCGCGTAATAATCCCCCCCCGGTTTTTCGCGAATAACTCGCGTAAAAAGCGGCCGATCGCGACGAAACGTTCAGTACCCTTGCATTGATCAATTTTACACCTACCCTGAAAATTTCATGACCCGACCCAAAGTCCCTTTGACCTGTGACCTAGGCGGTGTTTCACGGGACGCTGCTACCACGCTGCTATCAAATTGCGCGAGCTGACGTCACACGTGTGGTAGTGTTGGAGCAATGGGCCTGTTGATGTCTCCATGGAAACCCAATTTGACACGTGTAAAAGCAGCGTGCTGCTATCACCGGTGAAACAGGGCCCTACTTTCTGAAACCATGTTTGCGTTTCGGCGTAGGTATGTCGGCTCGCATTTGCCGCGCGTTTGCATGCTTTTCGTGGTTTCAAACGTTCAAACATGTGATTTGATGTTGCTCCCATGCATAAGGGTGGATGTCAAGATCACCTGAACGTCAGGTCAGGTCATTGACCTTTGGTGACCTCAGTTCACTGTTCCGAGTTTTACATTTTACTAAGCTACTTTTTGAAGCTGAATTCAAATTTAACAACCATTTGAGCATTTAAGCTCTGGCTCGATCAGGGTCCAAATACGAGGGGGTAACTACGCAAAATGGCCTGTGCCGGCAAGGTTTTTTTTTTAAAACGAAAACCACCATTCCACCTGCACCACAGATTTCCTGCACTGCAGAAATGCCAAACGTGGTCGGCCCCACCGTACAATGAGTGGGTGGAGCCAGGCAGCTGATGTCATCACCCAAGTATGACGCACACAGCACAGATCTATGCATGGGCCCGAACAGCCCTCTGGGCTCCGGTCATTTCCTCTGATAGTCACAACCAGACTGAGACCAACACAGCACCAGTTGCACAACATTTAAACGAGGTTAGCTGCAAACACTGTTTGTCAAGACTTATAATATATCATTGGTATGGTATATGGCTTAAGTCCAGTGCTAAATCACAAAAGAAAACAGCTGAAAACGACTTACCTACGACCCTTTTGTGAGATATGACTTGGAGAACTGCATTATCAACCTTTTCTCCATTGAGCATTTTCACAATAGCACCTGTTGTTAGTTGATGATCCATGATAGATCAATACGGGAGGATTCCGATGAAAGAAATAAGGATACAAAACTGACACAACAACTCATAAAATTACGAAATTTGACAGAAATTACACCCCAGCGTTTCAGCGCCGTGTCAAAACAAAACAAGTTCTGGCGCGAAGAAGTACTTTTCTTGCAGTGTTCAGTTCGATAGAAGTGTGTGAATTGACCTTCTTTCATTGGTTATGTTGTTTCAAAGAGCCGAAACACTGCAATTCCATTGGCCTAAATCTGCTGGTGCTGCTCGCGCAATCTCAAAGCAACATGCCTTTTTATTTGGCGCGAGCTGTTTCAGAATATTTGAGGAAAATTTTCATCCTAAATTAACTTGAGGTTAATCGGAGGCAAATTAAAGGGGAAAGAATATTCATAAAATATTTGAATGACAAAATAAAAATCGTTCATGCAAAAAAAAAATATTTTTCGAAATGTTTACAGCAGCGCTGTCAGCCTGTCTTTCGTGGTTCCGCTTTAGCCGGGCAAGGTGCGTCGATTATGTATTTTCATTATAATGAAGAGCAATAACTCATTTAACATTGTTATATGTCGTTTCCCATTAGCAATAACTCCAGCTTTTTAATTCCTGCAACTCTTCGGTATATCGCAAACTTCCTGAGTACCTACCTCATGAACGAATGGTCCGTGTGTTCTGTCGATTTGCGGTTTTGTCAATTGTAGTCATCGGTTTGTTTTCCTTCGACGTGCTAATTAGGAGGACCATCTGTGCTAGAGCATTAGAGTTTGTGTGTTTGATAGGCCTGTTGCAGTTTTGGTTCTGATACCTATTATTCATGGTTGACTTGTGGTAGTTAGTTAGATAAGTAGTTAAGTAGTTAGTTAGATAAGGCTTTCATTGTTATGTTTTGTTTTGCCTTCTTTCAGCCTTGACATGCCAATGGTAACAATTTCTGCACATTATATGTTTCTTGCCGTTTGTGGGACTGCATTTGCCTCGAGTATTACCAGGTGTTTACATATTTTTCATCTGTTTCACTACCTTATGAGGAATGCTATATGAATCAAAGCAAAAAAACTGCTTTTTCTGGCCACATGCTAATGTGCTAATCTCGTTTGGTGTTCACAGATGGCACTGGCAACAAAGATTGTCAAGAAGGCCGGCGACAAGCCGACAGACTTTGAGAACTCGATTGGCCAGGCTTTGCTGGAGCTGGAGGCCAACACTGACCTGAAGCAGCAGCTCAAGGAGCTCCACATCACTGCCGCCAAGGAGGTCGATGCCGGAGACAAGAAGGTGGGCCAGTACTGAAATTTTTGCCCCTCTATATGTGGAAGGCTTGTGATGTTAATGCATGTATGTATTTTTAGGGTTGGCTGCTGTGTTTTGGCTGGGCTTGATAATTGCATACTTTTCTTTGACATGAATGAAAATTTAATTAATTGATCATTGATGGAGATCCAAGAGACTTGATTGCTTTCACCAGTTCAAGTTGTGAGGAGAAATTTGCCCTGACCAAGCAAGAAATCCGGATAAGGCCACATCACAACAGGAGAACAATTAGAATTTCAAGTTCACACTTTAATTTGGCAGGAAATTTAATTTGGCAGGAAATTGCACTGGTGCCGTCCACTGACAGTATCAGCGGAGTTCAGCTTTCTTGCAGTCCCTGCTAGTGCTGAGTCCCCATTGTGTTATTATTTACCTCAAGTATTTACCTTTAGTATTTACCTTAAGTAAAGGTCAATAGTACCCTCTCAAGTAATCAGGCCCTTTACTCAAGAGATGCCTCCTCGTCTAATGAAGACGAGTTGGCTGCCATGCGCAGTAGGGACATAAACTCATGGCCAATGATGATCATTAGTATGAGAACTTGTAGTTGAACTTTTCAGAGTGGTCCTTCCATTCCTCCCCCAATCTGTACTTTGAGACGTCAGCATTTAGAGCATCGATGGTGTGGTTTGACAGCTTGTTCCATGTCTGAGGTACTCATACCGCAAGGATTGCTTTTCTAGGTCCTAACTTACGCTGAACTTGAAGCTTTTGATCGTGACCTCGGTTGACACGGCTGAGAGAGTTCTTGAACATGCTGTTTTGACAACACGGGCATTCTCTTTGGTAGTCCATCTTGTCGAGGCTTTTCAAAATTTTGAAAGTCTCGATGATATCCGACCGCTTCCGTCCGAATTCCTGAGTAGGTAAATTGAGGTTCCTGAGGCGATCTGAGAACAAAAGGTGAGACAGTCTATTCACCAGCTTTACCCTAAGTTTTTACCTTAAGTAGGTAACAGTCATTAGTTAATTACCAGTATAACGCCTTTTGGGGCGACTAACGGAGCGAGCGAGAGGGTGGGCCTTGCACGTACGAAATTTCGAGGGGGTACCTCCAACTGAATTGAGCACGGCACCCTACTAACCGGTCTCTAGCAATATGCCAAATTTGAGCACAATCGGCCCAGCCGTTCTCGAGATCTGGAAGCGGCACCCTGCACGTGCGCACGTGCAAAATGGGTCCCAACTGAGTTGTGCACGGCACCCTACTAACTGGTCCCTAACCGTGTACCAAATTTGAGCGCCATCGGTCCAGCCGTTCTCGAGATCTGGAAACGACCCCTGAACGTGCGCACGTGCTGCAGCACCCCAACTCTGGCACATGGATATGCAGTGCCTAGTGGGTGCCTACCTACATGCCAACTTTCAGCGCAATCGGCCAAGTAGTTACCGAGATATTGCAACAATTACAAAACGGACACCTCTTCGTTTCGCACGTGGCACGTGCATAAGGGGTCACCCACATGCATCGGGAATAGTCCAATACTTGGTAGAAGGAATGAAGCTACCCTACAAAAATTACCGCGTGTAAATCGGTCAAGTGGTTGCTGAGATATAAGCCTCGCAAAAGCGTCCGCACGGCCGGCCGGCCGGCCGCTCATACTCAGAAATTTCCGTTAATCTAAGGAAAGACTACGCTCGCTTCGCTCGCTCCGTAATTAGTTATTACCAGTATAACGCCTTTTGGGGCGACTAACTGAGCGAGCGAGAGGGTGAGCCTTGCACGTGCGAAATTTCGAGGGGGTACCTCGAACTGACTTGTGCACGGCACCCTACTAACCGGTCTCTTGCGATGTGCCAAATTTGAGCACAATCGGCCCAGCCGTTCTCGAGATCTGGAAGCGGCACCCTGCACGTGCGCACGTGCAAAATGGGTCCCAACTGACTTGTGCACGACACCCTACTAGCTGGTCCCTAGCCGTGTACCAAATTTGAGCGCCATCGGTCCAGCCGTTCTCGAGATCTGGAAACGACCCCTGAACGTGCGCACGTGCAGCAGCACCCCAACTCTGGCACGTGGATATGCAGTGCCTAGTGGGTGCCTACCTACATGCCAACTTTCAGCGCAATCGGCCAAGTAGTTACCGAGATATTGCAACAATTACGAAACTGACACCTCTTCGTTTTGCACGTGGCACGTGCCTAAGGGGTCACCCACATGTATCGGGAATAGTCCAATACTTGGTAGAAGGAATGAAGCTACCCTACAAAAATTACCGCGTGTAAATCGGTCAAGTGGTTGCTGAGATATGAGCCTCGCAAAAGCGTCCGCACGGCCGGCCGGCCGCTCATACTCAGAAATTTCTTAAATCAGAAATTTAGATTCTGTTAATCTAAGGAAAGACTACGCTCGCTCCGTAATTATCGTGGATTGTGCTGTTCCAGCGCCATTTTTTTAGCACGTTGCCCTGGTTTTGCCCTCACCACCGAATTGAAAATTCACACCACACCACACTATATTAAAAATGGTGGCTGGCTTCCGGCCAGACAACAATGTCATCCTGAAACTGAAGGAGTGCTGCGAGCGTTATGTGACCTGGGGCCATATTATTAAAGTCATTAAACAGATTTGAGGAAATTGACCAGTGACCTATCCATGAGCTGTGATACGTGACGTTGATTAATTTCGCATCTATTGTTAAGTTGGAATTTTTATCTTTTTTATTTACAAAGCAGAGTTGCTTCATAATTTATTGCTCGGACTTTAATCGATTTTTTTAGTTCTCTGGCTCCTTGCAACTTTGCTGCGTCGGGCGAGACATTCACATTCTTGATGGAACAGCAATGTCATCATTTTTTTTTTATTTTTTCCTGTCACCACAGTCCACCCTGTGTATGACTGTATGACCTCCCCCGCTGACTGTATGACCTCTCCCCGCAGGCGATCGTAGTGTTCGTACCGGTGCCCCAGATGCGCGCCTACCAGAAGATCCAGACCCGCCTGGTGCGCGAGCTGGAGAAAAAGTTCAGCGGCCGTCAGGTGGTGTTCATCGCTCAGCGCCGCATCCTGCCCAAGCCCACCCGCAAGATGAACAACAAGAGCAAGCAGAAGCGGCCCATGAGGTGCGGGAGGCCGAGTGGTAGCCGTTTGGGGTCTGGGGCACACGGGAAGAGCATCATCTGCACACAACGCTAGACTTATTCTTTATTTTAGCGGATTGTACGGACCGACATTGTGGTTTTCTTAGTTGCAGTTTAAAAGGGTGTAACAGAAGTTCGAAGTAGTTCACCAGCACGATATTATGATCACTTTCCCCTTCCCCCGAGTGTGCGACGGTGCGCTGACCTCCGACCCCCCCCCCCCCTCGCCCGCAGCCGGACGCTGACGCACGTCCACGAGATGATCCTCGAGGACCTCGTCTACCCCGCCGAGATCGTCGGCAAGCGCATCCGGATAAAGCTGGACGGCTCGCGGCTGATCAAGGTGCACCTGGACAAGGCGCAGCAGACCAACATCGAACACAAGGTGGGTCCACGGACGGCCCGGCCGACGGAGCTCGGCACTCGGTAGCCGTACTGTGTGTTGGGTGGGAGGGAGGTGATCTGGCCCTGGGTAGGTGTGCTTGGGAGAATGGTTTCAGTGGTAGCAATGAAGTGGGGAATGCTTCTATTCTGAGCGCGTTCTACGTTGGTCGTTGTCAATAGCGAAGAGAAGTCGACATTGGTTGGTTTGGCTCGGAGACTTCTTGTGAAATCTCTAACATCTATATTACTATTTGAGGAGGGTGCGTCTGTCCGTTACCGAGGTCCCGACTTGGTGCTGCTTTGCGTGGACTACAGGCCAGACCGTTGCACCTAGCGCGGTGAAATTTGCACAACTCATAGATCAAGGATGCGCGACGTGCCTTTGAGGGGTCTGGGCTCCATCGGATTGATAGGGAGCGCGTGGTGCGTGCCCAAAAAGTGCAAATTCGCGTCATAGACTTTACATGTATAAATCGGCGTGCGAAATCGGGCGAAAACGGCTAATTTT